GATGCAGATGTTGTCTTGGAGCAACTAGAAGATATTTCTAGCCTGGACATGACATTCTTTAATTAGAGGCTCCACACCTTGAATGCTGCATCTGGACACCTTCCTGTGCAGTTGTGCAGTTGTTCATTTATTCTAGAACCTGGAGTTAACAAATTGTTGGGATATCATCACAAGGTTCTCCTGCTCTCCAAGGAGTCTATGGAGTGTTAGTTGAAGTCTAGTGGATGAGGTGTTTCCTCTTGATTTGGGGTTGAGATGCAGGCTTCAGCTCCCAGGGGCCACATGTGTTGGACCAGGAAGTGACTCCATCTCAGAATGTCATTGGATGACTCTCCTTCTGAGGATTTGTCTGCAGCCATGAGAGCCAGCCCCCTTACCTCATTCTGAGGCCTTTGGCAATTTGTTAAGTCAGAGGTGGGCAACCTTTCTGAGCCAAGAGTCACATTCTCTTCTAGACAGCCTTCCAGGAGTCATATGCTTTCAGGAGAAATTTGAAAACATGCCCAGGCATTCAGTGGCTGAAAAATGTTGTTCCTGTCAACCTCGAGGTCAGTGGCTGGAAGAATGTTTTAAAATTGTAATTGCTTTTAGAATGTTTTAATCTGTTTTTAAATTGTGTATCTGTTTGCTGCTCTGGGTTCCTTGGAGTGGGACAGCAAGATATAAATTCAGTAATAAATAATAATCTAAAATTCAGCATTAAAAGTAGTTAAAGCTGAGTGACAGTTGCAAGAAGAGGGTGCACCAGTCTTACCCTGTGTGAAAATTTCAGTCCACCCCAAAAATTGAGGGCCGGATTTTGGTGCAATGACTTAATCTGAAACTGGGCAAGGCTTCAAATCTTGAAACAAGTCCCTGACTCTTTCCGACTGGGTTCTCTAATACGTACAGAAACTACCCTCTCTAAAGGCTGCCAGCAAAGAATAAAGTATAAGCTCTCCCAATGTGGTTTTTCAAAAAATGAATTATGCCATTAAGAGCCAAGAAGAAAATTAGCTATGAGCTTTTAAATTTGAAACGATCCCCTTTTTAATTGTAAAACAGTGCCACTTAACTGCTATTGATCCAAGGGAAACACATTAGGGAGCAAGGTCACCATAACTGTTAATATTCACTGCTTAGTGAAAGAGCATCAAAGGACATTTTAATGTCACTGACTTTCTTGGGGAGTTTTTACCGAAAGCTTTACATCGGCCAGCCTATGAATGAAAAGGACATGTAGCAGACAAATGTAGAAACAAATGGGATCTCAATTGTCTGCTAATCAAATCGTAACTCAGGATTGATTTTTGAGGCAAAAGTTTATGTCATGGATTTCCAAGCTCCGCCGACATTTAAAAGTCAAAATATATCTTTTCTGCAGACGGACTCTTCCTCCCCCCCTCCCCCGTTCCCTCCTTTTTGTTTCTGGAAAGTTTTTGCAAGAAAACGGAAATGCTTATTCTTATTTGACTGAACTGCTCCTTTGCCATTCAAATGAATCTTCAGGCCCAGAAATCAGGAAGACGATAAGCAGCAGTGGAAAGGTTAAGATGAACAGCCTAATCTGGAGCAGGTTTCACCAAGGCCACATTGGCACTATACATTTAAAGCAGTATTATACCACCTTTAACAGTCACAACTCCCCCACCCCCGCAAAGGATCCTGGGAACTATAGTTTATTATGGGTTCCTCTAACAGCTAAATTCCCAGATTTCCCTAGGAAAAGACATAGATTGTGAGGGGAATAAGGGTGAGCTAACAACTCTCAGCCCTCCTAACAAACTACAGTTCCCAAGATTCATTGGGAAAAGCCATGACTAATGTGGTATGCTACTGTTTTAAATGTCTAAATTCCCATTGGGCAGGGGGCTTAGTTCAATGAAATTTACTATCACAAGCAATTTATAATTAAGCAGTACATTTTTTTTATAATTAAATAAAAGAATGTACATGGGATTGCATCAGATTAACCAGTTCTTATGCTTGGGATAGCCTAGGGCTTGCCAGTCAGAAGGTCGGCGGTTTGAATCCCCGCGACGGGGTGAGCTCTCGTTGCTCGGTCCCTGTTCCTGCCAACCTAGCAGTTCGAAAGCACATCAAAGTACAAGTACATAAATAGGTACCGCTCTGGTGGGAAGGTAAACGGCGTTTCTGTGCGCTGCTCTGGTTCGCCAGAAGCGGTTTAGTCATGCCCAGAAGCTGTACGCCGGCTCCCTTGGCCAATAAAGTGAGAGTCATCCGCGACTGGACCTAATGGTCAGGGGTCCCTTTACCTTTACCTTTATGCTTGGGATAGCCTAGTTTCTGTTGTCTTCACTGTTGCAACCTCTAGATTAGATTACTGCAATGCATATTACCTGGGACTGCCTCTGAAGATAGTTTGGAAACTGCAGCTGCTGCAGAATTCAGTGGCCAGATTGTTGGCTGGAAGACTGCACTGCTCGTCAATTAGTTTCTGAGCTCAACTCAAAATGCCAGTTCTGATCTATAAAGCCTTATGTACCTCAGGGTCCCAATACCTTAGGAACTGCCTCTTTACACAGGAACCTTCCCAGCCCCTAAGCTTGTCAGATCATGCCATTTGCATGCCTTTTCAGTGATGGCTTCCCCAGTTGTGGAATGTTGTGCCTTGAAAGATGCATGATCAACATTTAGGCACCAGCCAAAGACTTTCCTGTTCACCTAAGCATTTGGCTCTTAATAGGGGTCACAGGGTTTGATGACACCCAGGCCTGCATTGGCGTTCAGCTTTTAGCAGGTTGGGGTAGGATTCGTCCTCCTTTTGCTTTTTCACGATGAGCACTTTGGCCAATTAATGTTCCTTAGTCTTTTTGATAAGAGACACAGGGGAATGATTAATGGACTTCAATGTCTGTACACTAATGCGCAAAGCATGGGAAATAAACAAGATGAGCTTGAACTCTTGGTACAGCAAACTAAATATGGCATAATAGGCATCACTGAAACCTGGTGGGATAAGTCCCACGATTGGAATGTAATAATGGAGGGATACAATCTATTTCAGAGAAACAGACCAGACAAGAAAGGAGGAGGAGTGACGTTATATGTCAGGGATGTGTATACCTGTGAAGAGATCCAAGATTTAGAACCTCAAAGCCAAAATGAGAGCATTTGGGTCAAAATTAAGGGAGAGAAGAATAACAGTGACCTCATTGTGGGAGTTTACTATAGATCCCCAAGCCAAACGGAGGACATAGATGATGCCTTCCTAGAACAGATGGCCAAGCATGCAAAAGGAAGGGAGATAGTAGTAATGGGTGACTTCAATTACCCGGATATTTGTTGGATGTCAAACTCAGCCAAGAGCATAAGGTTAAACAGATTCCTCACTGGCCTTGCAGACAACTTCATTGTCCAGAAAGTGGGAGAAGCAACAAGAGGAACAGCCATTTTAAATCTGGTCCTAACCAATGTTGATGACCTGGTTAGTGGGGTAGAAGTGGAAGGATCATTAGGCGCGAGTGATCATGCTCTTCTGAAGTTTACTATACAGCGGAAAGGAGCAGCCAAGCATACTAGGACTCAGTTTCTTGACTTTAAGAAAGCCGACTTCATAAAACTTAGGGAAGTGCTGGGTGAGATCCCATGGACAGTAATACTAAAAGGAAAGGGAGTTCATGATGGCTGGGAGTTTGTTAAGAGGGAGATAGTAAAAGCACAACTTCAGGCAATACCAATGAGACATGGAAACATGGAAGGTACCTAAAGAAGCCAGGGTGGCTATCTAAAGAACTTTTAACTGAGTTAAGATTAAAAAAGGATGTGTACAAAAAATGGAAAAGGGAAACCACCAAAGAGGAATTCAAACAAATAGCCAGCACGTGTAGACACAAAGTCAGAAAAGCTAAAGCACAGAATGAACTCAGGCTTGCTAGAGAGGTTAAAAGCAACAAAAAAGGCTTTTATGGGTATGTTCGTAGCAAAAGGAAGAACAAAGAAACAGTGGGGTCACTCAGAGGAGAAGATGGTGAAATGCAAACAGGGGACACAGAAAGGGCTGAACTCCTCAATGCCTTCTTTGCCTCAGTCTTCTCCGATAAAGAAAACAATGCCCGACCTGAAGAATTTGGAGCAAATGATTCAGCAGAGGAAACACAGCCCAGAATAACTAAGGAGATAGTACAAGAATACTTGGCTAGTCTAGATGTATTCAAGTCTCCAGGGCCAGATGAACTGCATCCAAGAGTATTAAAAGAACTGGCAGATGTGATCTCAGAACCACTGGCAGTCATCTTTGAGAATTCCTGGAGAACAGGCGAAGTCCCGGCAGGCTGGAGGAGGGCAAATGTTGTCCCTATTTTCAAAAAGGGGAAAAGAGAGGACCCAAATAATTACCGCCCAGTCAGTCTGACATCAATACCAAGGAAGATTCTGGAGCAGATCATTAAGCAAACAGTCTGTGAGCACCTAGAAAGGAATGCTGTGATCACCAATAGTCAGCATGGATTTCTGAAAAATAAGTCATGTCAGACTAACCTGATCTTGTTTTTTGACTGAATTACAAGCCTGGTAGATGAAGGGAATGCAGTGGATGTAGCCTACCTTGATTTCAGCAAGGCATTTGACAAGGTGCCCCATGATATTCTTGTAAAGAAGCTGGTAAAATGCGGTCTTGACTATGCTACCACTCAGTGGATTTGTAACTGGCTGGCTGACCGAACCCAAAGGGTGCTCATCAATGGTTCCTCTTCATCCTGGAGAAGAGTGACTAGTGGGGTGCCACAGGGTTCGGTCTTGGGCCCGGTCTTATTCAACATCTTTATCAACGACTTGGATGATGGACTCAAGGGCATCCTGATCAAATTTGCAGATGACACCAAACTGGGAGGGGTGGCTAACACCCCAGAGGACAGGATCACACTTCAAAACGACCTTGACAGATTAGAGAACTGGGCCAAAACAAACAAGATGAATTTTAACAGGGAGAAATGTAAAGTATTGCACTTGGGCAAAAAAAATGAGAGGCACAAATACAAGATGGGTGACACCTGGCTTGAGAGCAGTACATGTGAAAAGGATCTAGGAGTCTTGGTTGACCACAAACTTGACATGAACCAACAGTGTGACACGGCAGCTAAAAAAGCCAATGCAATTCTGGGCTGCATCAATAGGAGTATAGCATCTAGATCAAGGGAAGTAATAGTGCCACTGTATTCTGCTCTGGTCAGACCTCACCTGGAGTACTGTGTCCAGTTCTGGGCACCACAGTTCAAGAAGGACACTGACAAACTGGAACGTGTCCAGAGTAGGGCAACCAAAATGGTCAAAGGCCTGGAAACAATGCCTTATGAGGAACGGCTAAGGGAGCTGGGCATGTTTAGCCTGGAGAAGAGGAGGTTAAGGGGTGATATGATAGCCATGTTCAAATATATAAAAGGATGTCACATAGAGGAGGGAGAAAGGTTGTTTTCTGCTGCTCCAGAGAAGCGGACACGGAGCAATGGATCCAAACTACAAGAAAGAAGATTCCACCTAAACATTAGGAAGAACTTCCTGACAGTAAGAGCTGTTCGACAGTGGAATTTGCTGCCAAGGAGTGTGGTGGAGTCTCCTTCTTTGGAGGTCTTTAAGCAGAGGCTTGACAACCATATGTCAGGAGTGCTCTGGTGGTGTTTCCTGCTTGGCAGGGGGTTGGACTCGATGGCCCTTGTGGTCTCTTCCAACTCTATGATTCTATGATTCTATTTTAAATTTCATGTCATGTATGCTTTTATCCTTGCAAGTCCCATTTTAGTAGTAAGCAGCAAAACAAGAATAAGAATGAGAATGAGACTAATGCTTTTGAGCTGAAGGTAATACTTCTGGCAGGTTAACCTAGCTAACTCAGTCTCATCTGCAGAAACAAGGAAGAGTCATGGGCCACATCAGTGACCCAAACATTATTGTAGCATGCACTTGTTTTTTATAGTGAAAGGGATACTGGAAAAGACACATACTGTACATAGTTTCAGTGGGGAAAGAGGCAGCCCTGTGAAATAAAATGAAAATATGGAAATGCACCCTCCAATAGTCATGGCACCATGTACTGTAGCAGTCAATGGAAGTCAGTGAAATACACTCATAGATTTGGGCATGCCCAGCCTTCGGATGGCTGCTGCTGCTGCAATTTGCATGACACCTCATCTTCAATAACTGCTGTGTTCAGCGACTCCGCCACTCTCTGGCTTCCTTCAAGCCAAAATAAATTGTGTCCAATCTGTCAATGAGCTCCAGTTTTGCAGCCTCTCACTCCATAAACTGCCCCAAGTCCTCTTTTGCATGAGCTTGGTTACTGGTTGTTCAGAGATAGGATGAACTCTCCCTTAGGGAGAATAAATAAAGATGTGATGAGCATGTGCCCACTTGTATCTTAAACTCCACCAAAACAAAAACAAAGAATTTGATCACAGACAGAAGCAGGTGGTTCTTACTGGTTCTCGGACACCAGGCAAAGTATTAGTCTTTGTATGGCATGTCCAGAACAATGGACATCGTTCCAGAATCCTGCAAACTGTAGTTCAACCCCCACAAAACAACAATCCCCAGAAAGCATAACAAACTATACTCCTCAGGATTCTTGGCAGGTATATGCACTTTAAATGTATGGTGTGTATACAGCCTGAATAACCTTTAGGTGAGCTGAAGATAACATAGAGCTTTATGCAAGAATCAGTGCATATTCCACATCAAGAAAGTTCAGTTTTGTATGGATACAGTTCAAATCTGTAACTAGAGAACTATCGCCATCCCTGTCAGTCCTCTCCCCCCAAAAAGCAAGAAAGCAGGATCCATTCAACTGGCAATCAAAACCAGCCTCTTAGCATTTATAGAGTGTGTTTCAAGCCTCCACAGCTGGAACATGCATTTGCTCAGTAATCTTTACAACAATCTTGCGAGGTAGACATTCTTTATCATCTCGATATTGCTGTACTCAATTGCTGCACAGTTCATGTTTATTTGTTTATGGGAAGCATTTTTATCCTCCTCTTCAGCCACGGAGCCTCCTGGAGCAGCTTACAAATTTCAGTAATATCAGTTATAATAGGACAGTAATATATTAGTAATAATAATAAGACAGTCCCTGCCCTCAGGCTTACAACTGAAAAGACACAACACAAAAGGAAATGTTATTGAGAGAGAGGAGAGGGGGAAGCAAACATAGACACTAGTACCCTCATTTTTCATACAGTAATGCTAAATTATTGTTTCCATCTCCCTCCGAACAATTTCATAAAAGGGATTGCAGGGCTTAATGGATAAAGAATATAGCTGGATGTTTTTTGGAGACAGAACTAGTATTGATTTTATCCTGCCAAGAGGTCATCTTGAGAAAATGGCATCAACTTTGAACGGGAAAGGTGATGACTCCACACCGCAATTTTTGATGCAACCATGAGGCTTAGCCAAAAAAGGGGGAGGATCAGAATCCATTAATTGTGCAGACAACTTTAATTTGTTTATTTTGCTGACTTCACAGTCCAGGCGATGTCTAAGAGTCAACTTCCGGAAATACTGTTGTTGAAACTGTTTGCATCCATAGAGCTAGTGGGCCTGTCTACAAGATCAGTTATTCTGAGATAGGCAGCCCTTGACAGTCTAACGTAGCCTTCAATTGGTTTTCTGTGTCTAAGAGTTAAACCAGAGGTTGTCATAAACTGAATGCCATTCAGCTCAGTGCTAGACCAAAACCTGTTCTCCAGTTTTGCTAAAGGTTTTTTTCCCCCTCTGTGAAGGAAACTTCCACTTTTCTGCCTGTTTATGAGGATTTTTAAAGAATTTTTCTTAAGGGCATGCAGGTTTTGAGCTTGCCTTATTCTTGCAATGTGGCCAAGGGCTGTGTGTGTGTGTGTGTGTGTGTGTGTGGGTTGTTTTTATTTCCAGTCAACATTTCTCTAGCACTTTGCAGCCTCCCTAGCCGCCCACACTTCCTGATCTGAAAAATTCCTGGGCAGGAGCAGTTAATCTCATGAGATCTTTCCCTGGATATTAATTGAAGCCTCAGAAGCTGGGAAACCTGCAGAGCTTAAATGTATACTGCCTATAAAGAAACCTGCAGACCAATGCAGCTACTGTTCAGGAAAGCAAGTGAAACTAATTCTTCTCTGGCATTAGTGCAATTTTCACATACATATGCAACAGAAGCCTACCAATATATTTTCAGGGCCCATAACATATCAATTTTTAAACAGTTATGGCTTTCCACGAAGAATCCCGGGAACTGTAGTTTGCTAGCAGTGCTGAGAATTATTAGGACACCCTTCTTCCCTTCACAGAACTACAGTTCCCAGAGTTCCTTGGAAATAAGGATCTGTTGTTAATCCATTGTGGTAATTGCAGCTCTGTGGAGGGAACGGAGGTCTCCTAACAACTTTTAACCCCCTAACAAACTACAGTTCCCAGGATTTAAAATGGCAAGGTGCTGCCTTAACTGTATCACACAAGAGGAGCCTGAGAAAGTTCTGGGGAACACTTTGTATCATATGAAACACCTTCCCTTCCAGTTGTTTGGAAGGAGGAAACAAATGAAACTCTAGTGGTGTGGAGGAATTGGGAGGTATTGAGAGCCACATATAATGGCATCAGGGGTCACAGGTTGCCCACCTGTGCCTGAAAACAAGCCTCTCCCTTCTCTCTCCCCCTATCTCAAGCCCTTCTGAATTTGATTGAGGGCAATTAGCATGTTCTTTCCAACCTGGGGCCTGTGTTTGTGTGTGCACAGAGCTAATTGTCATGCAAGAGAAATTACTTCCTGCAGTTCAGGGGAGACAGCTGGGGGGGGGAGAGAACCCTTTTATCTGCCAAGTCCTTAAAACAAGAACTTTGCATGGGGAAACGGGGGCTGGGTGGGGGGAGGGAAGCTTTTATCCTGGAAGAGTGGATTTGATAACTAAGCTCCATACCTCTTTCACTTGTGGGCTATTAGGTCTGGCTCTTCCCCTCTTGGGACCTGTAGGAGCGTATGGCGTGTGTATGAACAGATAGCTCCTGTCTGCCTTGCAAAGACAGCGTGGTTGGAGGAACCCCCCTCGGGACCCGTCTAACGATCAGCGCAGAAAACTCGACTGTCTCTCCTAGAGCGGGAAAGCGCATCATTTAATGAAAATGTTGTCCGTTATTAATAGAGTGATGGGTAGAAATAAGGAACAGCAGGCCGGAGGCTAAGTGTTTCTACTTCGTCTCTCTCTCTCTCTCTCCGTTCCGTACCCTTCTCATTCATTCCCTCTCTCTCACCCTGGAAAAGAGCAATTCCAGTAACCTGAAGGTGCTCGTGCAATCAAAAGGATGCCCAGAGCAAAAAAGGGAGAAAGGAAAAAGGTCCGTGTTGTTTTCAAGAGAGGTCATCTGTAGTTCACAGTGCAAAGTCAAGTGGATGAGAGAGACCGCTTCAGGCTGTATGCGCAGTCAATATCACTAAAAGTTAAATTTCCGAGGGTTTCATCTTCCGCCCCCAACCAACATTTCAGCACATTTCCCACTTGCCAGTTATTACAGTGAATCTTATTAGCCTCCTTGTTTGCAGCAAGCAAAATTGTATCGTCTGACTCAAGTGAATTCCCCCCATTGATTGCAGGCTGGGACGCGGCTCCCGCTATTAATGAACTCAGGTGAGGAGTGCCAATAGAAATTGAGTCACTGTGGAGCTACTGGAGAACAGGAGGGAAGGATCAGCATGCTTGGGGGAATCCTGAGGTTTCCAGAAGTACTAAAGATCTTTGCCACGAGGGCAAGGGGTGGGAGAATTGAGCATACTCTGTGGCTATGGAATGCTGAGTGTAAAGTTGCGTTCACATGGCAGTTGATACCATTTCCCCAACCATCAATTTCTGCATTATATTTGAACTTAACTTAAAAGCCACTTCTGGACTTAAAAGCCACTTCCAGAAAAACAATGGAGTATAATGCATCTTAAGGACGCGGGTGGCACTGTGGGTTAAACCATAGAGCCTAGGACTTGCTGATCAGAAAGTTGGCGGTTCGAATCCCCGTGACAGGGTGAGCTCTCGTTGCTCAGTCCCTGCTCCTGTCAACCTAGCAGTTCGAAAGCATGTCAAAGTGCAAGTAGTTAAATAGGTACCACTTCGGCGGGAAGGTCAACGGCGTTTCCGTGTGCTGCTCTGGTTCACCAGAAGCGCCTTAGTCATGCTGGCCACATGACCTGGAAGCTGTACGCCAGCTCCCTCGGCCAATAAAGCAAGATGAGTGCCACAACCCCAGAGTCGGTTACAACTGGACCTAATGGTCAGGGGTCCCTTTACCTTTACCTTTATAGGGCATCTTAGCCCAAAAATGGAAGCAACAGGAATTACCAGCAATTGAAGAGTGGCAGACGAAGATGATAGAATATGCAGAGCTGACTGGGAAAATCCGTAACTCGCGTGATCAACCTTTCCAAAACGACTGGGGTGAATTTGTATAATATTTAAAGGACAATTGTAAACAATTAAAAACGCTAGTAGGACTGACTTAAGAAGACTTATAATGATGAAAATTCTACCTTTTTATATATTCTTTTAAAAATTTGTAATCGGAAATAGTGAAATATAATCAGAAAGAATTATGAATGTGATGTTGAAAGAAAAACTAAAGTAACCATGAGATGGAGGGGGGAGCAAAAATAATGTGAAAAAATGAAGAAATGCTTAAATGTTGTAAAATGAAAACTAAATAAATAAAAGAGGATAGTGCATCTTAGTGCTGATTTCCATGCTATTTGATTCCAGATAAAATCTGTTTACATCCCTGGCTCCTTAATCCAGAAAATCATCAGTGATGAAATTTGGAGCAGTATACTGGCATACAGTTCTACCCTGCTGATTTCAAGGGAAAATAACAGGGGGATAGAAGCACACGTGTTTGGGTTGCCACCCATCCCTAAAAAAAAATGGGAACCCCCATTTTTTGACCAAAGTGTCCCCTGTCCTGTTTGGACTTCCAATGGGATGCCTTTTCCCATATTTGAGACGGGCCGGTCTCTGTTGGTGACAAGGAGCCCAGCTGGGAGCGAGCGACAATAGAGAGAAGGGGGAAGGAGCAACCTCTTCTCCCTCTCTCTCCCCCCTCCTTTCATCCCTCTTGCTGGTGTTCCTCCTCAGCCACCACACACCGGTCTAGCATGGTACAGGTCCACCACTATTTGGCTCCCTCCATCACCCTACCTGACCTCTCTTCCTCCCTCTTTCTGCTCGTGCTCAACCTCATCAGGCTCCGCCACTGGAGACTCAGGGCTGTAGCCAGTGTTAGTCCTACTCAGAGCAGACTCATTGAAATGGATGGGTGGGACTAACCTGGTGCTATTAATTTTCATGGGTCTACTCTGAGTAGGACTGAGTTCACTACTACCCTCAGAATCCACAACTCAGGAGACCAGTCAGCTCTGTCTCATACTGAGGGATCATCTAGAGATTCTTCAATGAATCACAGAGGAGTATTTTGAAGAGAAATGACCAGCCTCAGGCTCTCACTGCCCTGTTCCCTTAAGGAATCCAAAGCACGGATACGTACCCCAGATGTAACCAACACAGAAGTTCCTTTGCTGACGTATGTGTTGGAAGACATAGTTTCCAGCTACCCTCAAAATCCAGAAGCAACGATGTAACTAAAGAGGGAGGGTGCGCACTGAAAAGGTTACCCGATCTGTGTGTAGAGAGATGCATTAATGCTCTCTTCATCCTGCCCTTGCAAATGTAGATTGATGAAGCCAAGAAACTAGGTATCTCTCCTCTTCATGCTCCTGGGCAGACGTTCCTCATGAAACAGAATATCCCTAGAATGGCAAGACATAAGACACCGCACACTCTGCCCTCTCCATAGATACGCGTGCACATACAAATACTTCATTCCACTTGCATGTATACTGCAGCTGTCTTACACAAGACACAACTGGGTGTTTTCAAGTCACCCAGCCCTAGTTTAACCACTCATTGGACAGACACTGCACAGTGGGTAATATACAATGCTTGTCTTACTCAGAGTAGACTTACAGGAATTTATTTATTTATTATTTCATAAATTCAGGGTGTTGGGGAACGGGTAGTACCTTTGGTGGGGGACATGTTGTGCTCCTTCTGGGGTAGTTTGTCCACCTTTGGTCCCCACCCTGCACTCAGTTCTCACTCAGCTCTCTCACTTAGAAGCTGTCAGGATGTGACAGTAGCTGATGAGTCTCAAAACCTTGGTGAGTTGGGGACTTCCCCTGCATGTGAAGACAGGCTCTGGCAGATTGAGTGGATGAGACCAATGGTGGGTCCAATGGTGAAGAAAGTGGTTTCTGCATCTGCTGTAGAAGGAAGTAAGGGGCAGATTGGGTTCATCAACCTAGGAGAAGGAAAGCTCTTAGTCCTAAGCTTCCACTGCCTTGAGGGGTATCTTCAGGAGAAGAAAAGGCTAAGGAGTAAACCCTACACAAATCTGGAGTAGAGTCCCTAAGGCGGTTGGGTGGCACCTTGTATGCCTCTTTATAGTAACTCCTGCAACCAAGCTGGTGCCAAACGTATTGCTCTGCTGTCCTTTGGACTACACTGCCCATGCTTGTGCCCCAGGGAGGTCACTTGGTGCTGCTAATACAGTGGTTTTACTTCACCCTCGGAGGCTCTCTGTTGTCTCTCAAGACAGACAGGTGCCAACAGTATGTCACTTGGTTATAAAACCAAAACAAAAAACCTTGAAGTGGTTTACAAAAAGATAAAAACAATGAAATCAAGCTAATGGACATGGGTAACTTAATTTCAATGGGCTGAATCCAATGAAGTACTAATTTAAAGCCAGTGGCACTGTGGGTTAAACCACAGAGCCTAGGACTTGCCGATCAGAAGGTTGGCGATTCGAATCCCCACGACGGGGTGAGCTCCCATTGCTCGGTCCCTGCTCCTGCCAACCTAGCAGTTCGAAAGCACGTCAAAGTGCAAGTAGATAAATAGGTACTGCTCCGGCGGGTAGGTAAACGGCGTTTCCGTGCGCTGCTCTGGTTCGCCAGAAGCAGCTTAGTCATGCTGGCCACATGACCCAGAAGCTGTACACTGGCTCCCTCAGCCAATAAATCGAGATGAGTGCCGCAACCCCAGAGTCGGTCACAACTGGACCTAATGGTCAGGGGTCCCTTTACCTTTACCTTTTAGCTGTATACTTGTGCTGGCAGAACACTCTTGTGCAAGGGAACACACAAGCGCATTGCCAATGATTGTTGTGCAATGGATGGGCACAGCAAGAGCCAGCTGTTGTGCAACAAGTATCAGCTGTCATGCAACAAGCTTCCTCTAGTGCAGCTGTTGTGCTATATTCCTTTGTTGCACAGTCTTAAAACTCTGCCATGCACAATAGCTTGCGTGCTAGTGGACAAAGAACATTGGATATGACCCAATAGGTCTACTAGCTACAACCTAGTCCCTTGATCCTTCCTCTTCCTGTTTATGTTACTCTGTACACTAGGGACGAACAGTGACCCCCTCGGCCTAATTTAAAGAGCTTTCTACATGCGATCAGTTCAGGCAAGATGGATCACTTCCTCTCCTAGCAGCTGACTGAATGGGAAGGGAGAGGGGGTAAAGATAGAATGAGGGAGGGAAGGGGTGTACCATCTACTTATTATTATGATCCCACCCACCACTTGTTTTGGCTCTGCCCTCCACTACCATGCGGCCCCCAAGATATTATTCCTGAGGGAATGTGGCCCTTCACTGAGAAAGGTTTCCCATCTCTGCTGAACACCATGTACTATTGTCATATAACTAAAATAATGAAAATTAGGGCTGAGTCAAAACTTGTCACTGTATTTTGGGGAAATATTTTCAGCAGCAAAGAGAGCCTCTTCCCCATCCCACATTCTAAGGCAGGCATAGACAAACTCGGCCCTCCAGATGTTTTGGGACTACAGTTCCTATCATCCCTGACCACTGGTTCTGTTAGCTAGGGATCATGGGAGTTGTAGTCCCAAAACATCTGTAGGGCCGAGTTTGCCTATGCCTGTTCCAAGGAAACTTGCCTACAGCTGGGGGGGGGCGGGATAATATTCTCAGTCCCTTTGCCTTTCCACTGTTTTTCTTTGCCCAGACTGTTTTTCTTTGCCCAATTCCAATTGGCTACCTAGCATTGTGGTGTCATCGCACTCACTATGTGCCTCCATGTAGGCTGATGAAGGAAGCATCAACCCCATTCTCAGTCTGACATCATTGCATAGCCAAATCTGATTGTCAACGCAGCATTGTGACACTCTGCCATTCACTACATGATCCCTGACTGGCTGGGCTCACACATGTTACTAAATCAGGAAGAAGTAAGTAAAAGAGGGAGGGGGGGAGAGAAAACTGGCTGTGAAGCAGCAGCAGATGGCAAGAAAGTGGCTTTTTAAAAAAGGTGAGTATTCTCACAATAAATTGTTTTTCAGGAAGTTTTTTTCCTCCACATCCCTCAACCTAAATTTCTGAGCCAGGAAATTGAAACAGGAGAATAGTTGGCTCAGCTCTAATAATAACCAGGTCCTTGGCATACCCTATACCCACTAGAAGAGTATTCCAGGTCCTTCGCTCTCTGTGCCTCTATTTATAAACTTTTTTTTTCTTGCAAAGCCATGCCATATGCCTCTTATCAGCATAGTGCTTTAAAAAAAACACCCCAAGCTGCTATTTTTTGCAAACTTGTACCTATTAGCCAATTCCACCTAGGCAAGAAGAATAGCATTGCAGAGCATGAGATTTGGAGAGAGACGAAAGCTTCTGCAGAGGGCTTTGCAGGGTAGCAAAGGGTTATTTGCCATGTACAAAGTGTCTTCCACCATGCCATTCCTTCCAAAAGCCTCCCTTTTTCTTTCTTTCTCTCCACACCCGCCCCAGTAACTTGTTTATGGCTCTGTGTATGCTGGTCAGATTCTGGGATTAATGATGGCTAATTTGCCTGAGGTGGGCACAGCCCAAACAGCAGGCTCTCTCTTCACCACCAGCTTTTGCTGCCATATGGACCGAAGCAGCTGTTTCAATTACTTTCTGTGCCCAGATGTGTCAGGCGAGACACCAGTGCTCTGCGGGGTACGCTCAGCCGCTCGGCAGCTAATTACTTCTACTGCGTGTCAGAGCGTGGTGCTGGATACTGTAAAAAAGGGGGTTTCAGGAAACAGCTGAATGCCAGCTGTCATTACGCCTCACACTGATGTCAGCCTGATAGGCTGTGACTAGATTTCATAACTCCTCTGCCTTTGAGGCGTGGGGTTAGTATTTCAGATGGAAAGGTAGAGGGAAGGAGGAATGAAAGGGGGTGCAAAAGTGGGCATGGGTTGGGCGGATCCTGCCCATTTCTGTTTATCTCAGTTTCTCGTTTTTTCCAATATTGGGTCCAGTTTTCCACATCAGGTTTGCTGATAATAATGAAATCCTCATGAAAATTCACCAGCATGTTGGTAGCATTTTCTCTCAATAGCCATAATTTATTTATTTATTGCTGAATATATACACATGTTTTGCAAAGCAATTTCTGTATGTTGCTTTCACTAATAGGTGCATGTCCGTGCACGCATTTTGCATTTTTGCACACATTATTTGGCTGGAGAACTGCATTGCAAAATTCAGAGAACTGTGACTTTCAAAGGGTAACTATGTTTCTGTTTTCCTTGTGCAAATTTCCTAGGTTCCCCATTAAGTGCAGATAGAATTGGATTTCTCCCTATCCTCAGCAGGAAGGATGAAAAGGTCTAAGCTTGGCCTGCAACCCATCAAAGCAAACACAGCCCACCAGGGTCAGGATTGGGGAGAAATTTAGGACAGGCACCTCTTTGGCTTCTGTGAGAACAGGATGCTGGACTAGATGGGTCGTTGGCTTGACCCATCAGGGCACTTCTTGTGCTCTTAAATTTGTTTGATTTGCATTTTTATGTGAGCCTAAATGTGACTCAAGCTTCCTGAACTGAAACACAGCTATCCTTCTAAACCACGCTTCTCTGAAATTTGTGATGCAATTCTGAAAAGAAAAAAAAATGTATACAGAAGCTGTATACGTGGAGGAAGTGTGTGTACAAATGGATATATTAGTGAAAATAGTTCTAACATTATAAAATCATAAAAAGTTAACTTTAAAAATAAAATGTTTGGCCAAGTAAAAAGGTTTTAACAGGTGATGAAGTAGCATGTTGTAGGTGAAAACTTTCTACATCAGTTTGCATTTTTTGTCAAAATAAAAAAAGCGCTCAGAAAAATTCAACAGGCTTTTAATGTGCTTTTTCTCCAAACATACATATTTTTTGTCAGGAATTGTGCCCAATATGCGCATTATGCAAGCAATTTCCCCCAACTACATACATATATGTGCCCCCCCCGAAACATGCATTTTTACGCATACATGCACCTACAATATGTATATTCGTAAACATGTCTTGGTTGGGAAACTGTAAAATTCAGCAAAGCATGAATTACAAAGGACACTGCATTTTGGTCCACATACAGTTTGGGGAAGTACAAATTAGGTAGGTTTGCATTAAGATGTGAACCAAACAGAATTTGCACCCATCCCTGCCCATAAATACGAAAGGAGCTCCCTTTCTCCTTTGAGTGACTGCAGGCTAGGAATAGGTGCTAAAGGCCATACGAGCAGCAACATAGAAACCAGCCTTAAATTAAGTCAGACTGTTGCTCCATCTTATTCAGTATTGCCAACACTGACTTGCAGTGCAAAAATGGAAGTCTTTCTTAGCCCTGCCTGAAGGTCCTGGGACCTTCTGCACACAAAATACATGCTCTCTCACTTTATGTCCTCTTACAATAAGATATCAATTAATTACATTTCCAGTGGCACAGGGACAGGACTGAGTCAAGAAAATCTCTCAGTTTGAAGCATGGGGCAAGATGGTGCCCACCCTATTCCAGGCACTGGATTGGCAGCTGACTGTTCTTCTGTGGCAACAGGCAGCATCCTTCACTGCACCTAAGGGCAGCATGGCAGCTTAGGGGCAGGCTGCGTGGCACACACCACTGGTCTTCCGATGGAAGAGAACGTCCAGCAGACTCAAGAGGAATGGCCAAGGGGATTCTGCCACTGCCGTCCACAATTCCTGGCATCTGCTGCCTGAGGCAGCTGCCTCACTCTGTCTAATGGTAGGACCAGGCCTGCACATGGGTATTTGTGCAGTGGTAGTCAGAGCCCTGCTGGATCAGCCCAATGGTCCACCTAGCCCAACATCCTCTTCTCGCAGTGGCCACCCAGATGCTCCAAAGGGAAATCTGCAAGCAGGACCTCAGCATCCAAGCACTCTCACCTCCTTGTGGTTTCCATCAATTGGTATTCAGAAGCATTGCTACTTCTAATTGTGGATCCTTCCACTAAAGACTGCTAGAGCGCATGTGGTAGCTCACACCAGCATGTGTGCACATGTGTGCGGTTGGTGTGTGTGTGTGTTTTGCAGCAAGATTAAGCTTCGCTTTGCATTACCTTGGCAGCTAGCAGAAGCTCTGAAGTGGGCACTGCAATTCCTATCCATGCTAATGATCTCCTCTTTGGCATGAAAAGGCATTACGAGGTCCCTTAGTGCTCATGCGATAGACCCACAAATCTATTTTTGGCTACGTGCACATGTGACAGATCATTAAAAGACTCGGAATCAGTTCCTTGAATTTAGATGGGGGGAAAGGGGGTGGGCGGGTGGGAGATGCTAAAATAAGACTGAAGGCTGTTGAATCTTCCAGGACATTAATAACCAAAAACCACTAGAAATAACCATGGCAACAAACAGTCGCTAAGTACAGTACAATCACCCTGATTACCATAGAATTAGCACAAAGCAAATGTTTATTTTCCTAAATATGCGTATTATGAAGGTGATGAGCACGTTAGTAACTACCCCAAATTACAGAGTAGGGGCCGAAAGCGGCACTGGCATTGCGATAAATGCTCTGCTTGGCACTTGTTTGTTCTGATCTGTGCGAGAAATATATTTATAAATGAACCTTTCCGCTCCCAATGAGTTCTGCTAATTTGACAGCTGAATCTCTGTTGAGCATGCCAGTTGCCTTGCAGCTAATTAAGACCTGTGGTGTGCTCGTTGGCATCGGGCTTGACTAAAGCATTCTGGTCACTGGAGGCTTGAACCTCTTTCACGCAAAGGCTAGAAGACCGGCGCATTTGATGCCCTGGCTACAGGCCCTTTGGCTGGTTGCAGCTAGTCGCTGGCTGGCTGGCCAGGGGTCAACAACAGACTGCTTGAGACTGGTGTCAATCTGACCTGGTAGTGTTTATGTATGACCCCTGGCTAATCAATGCCTGGCACCGCCAAGAAAGGGGAACAAAGGTTGACACTTGCCCTTGCCTTCAGGGAAGACCGAGCGGCTGAAGCCTTTGGCCCGGTAGGGCTTTCGTTCTAGATTTGAGAGAGCCGTTGCTCCATGACTGAGCTTCCCCTGTGCTCTAAAGCAGTTATGACTCCCAAAAGAGGACATGTATCACCCACAAAGGGCATAAATTTGCACATTTTGATTTCTATGCATAGATGCACTAATAATAATAATAATAATAATAATAATAATAATAATAATACAGCTTTACCATATGGTATGATTTATTGAAAACCAGGGCACAGACAAAGCTCATGCACATCCTCCTCAAAGTAGACCCATTGGTAGGTTCATTATTTTGTCCTCTCCTCCTGTGTATTTTGTATGCTTAGCATCACTAATGTGTGTATTTGTGTGCACTTGTGCACAACCTTTAGTATATCTATTTTTGTATGCATTACTTGGCTACTTGGCTAGCGAAGTGCATTACAAAATTCAGAGAAATTTGGATGGCTGTGTTTCAGTTCATGTGTTGTTTCAGAAAGCATTTGGAGAGAAAAAGAGATAGATAGATAGATAGATAGATAGATAGATAGATAGATAGAGCAAGCAAGCATTTGGAGAATTAGGTAGGTTTGCCTCTAAATGCAAACAGAATCAAATTTATCCTTAAAGAGAATTGGTGCTTAAATACATATTTAAAAATGTATGTAAAATTTATTTAAAGGATGTACTTCTTTAAAAGGGGGGGCTGTATACTGCTGTATCAGAAAGATTTATCACAGCAGTTTACAACAATATAAAAATATTAAACCAAACAATGACATTATAAATAGTTAAAAACAAGTTAAAAGTAGCAAGACATCAATAGCATATAGTTAAACAATGGCACTCACTCCCAGTGGTGATGGCCACCAACTTGGATGGCTTTAAAGAGGATTGGACAAATTCATGGAGGATAATGTGATCTATGGTTACAAACCATGACGGCTATGTTCTTCCTTTAAGGTCAGAGGCAGAACTACTTCTGAATACCAGTTGCTAGAAAACACAGGAGTGCTTTTGTGCTTGAGTCTTGCTTGAGGGTGGCCAGTCATCCGAGTGGCCGCTGTGAGAACAGGATGCTGAACTAGATGGGCTATTGGCCTGATCCATCAATGTTCCTATTTGGGTAAAGGTAAAGGTAAAGTTAAAGGTAAATGGACCCCTAACCATTAGGTCCAGTCGTGACCGACTCTGGGGTTGCGGCGCTCACTTTATTGGCCGAGGGAGCCTGCGTACAGCTTCCAGGTCATGTGGCCAGCATGACTAAGCCGCTTCTGGCGAACCAGAGCAGCGCACGGAAACACCGTTTACCTTCCCGCCAGAGTGGTACCTATTTATCTACTTGCACTTTGACGTGCTTTTGAACTGCTAGGTTGGCAGGAGCTGGGACCAAGCAACGGGAGCTCACCCTGTCGGGGGATTCGAACCACCGACCTTCTGATCGACAAGTCCTAGGCTCTGTGGTTTAACCCACAGCGCCACCGGCATCCCTACAGTGCCACCCGTGTCCCTTCCTATTTGAGTAGGATTCTTTAAAATGAGGACTAATGGGAAAACATACTGGAATTAAACACATAGAGCAGAAATAGAGTCGCTCACACTTAACTGGCAGCATGTGGAAAGCCTGACAGGTACTGAGAGTCAGGCACTGGCCTCCCTACATGAACTGCTTCTACAATTCAAGAGTAGCGGCAAGCCCAGCAGCCTTCTATCTGAAGAAATGGAAGGTGATTTGTTCATTTTGACCACCTGATTCCCTATCAAGACATTTTCTGTCCAGAGGATTCTAACCTGTTGGCTTGAAAGGCCAGGAGTTCAACGATATCTGAGCAGCTGTCTTGGTGACACAGGGTGTAAAGCAGGGCGACTTGACCCTAGGGTTCCTCATGCTGCAATACCCACCGCAGACAGGAAGACAGAGAATGTTTGAAACTAATAACAACAGTCTTGTAGCAAATAGGCAAGGCTTCTGCTCTTTTTTGCTGTACAGGGTAAGGCCTCGGCAGTAGCCCTTGGACGTCGTTTGACTAAAATATCCAAGTTACTAAATAAAATTACACTAAATTGACAAGCTTAAGATCTGATACAGATACAGAAGGCTTGGGAAGATTTCCGAAACTGCCCCGTGGAAAGAAAGCAAGATATATCTAATGTGGCAAAACAGATCTAAGAGGATATCCACATAGTTGGAGTAGTGGAGAACTGGTTTGATAATTTTAGGATTGGCAGATGGAATAAGGGAAGAGAAAGTTATATTTAGGGCAACATCTCAGTTCAGGAAGTCAAGGCGATTGAAGGAAGAGGAGGGGAAATGTTACTTAATTACAGAATCTGACAAACTCACTGAATGCTACTAGGATAAGAAGCCGCGAAGAAAAGAGAGAATGTTGAAAAATGAAGCTTGTGTTTTTCCTTGTTCCAAAGGGTGAGGATGGAAAAAGATGGGGGTCAGCATCAGAGGTTGGGCCAAGGAGGTAAATGTCAAGGCCTCACCATGCCATTTGGGCCAGTTTTAAATTTGTTCTGAGTTCTCATAAAGGTTAGATGCAGTATCAGTCTACAGAAAGTTTTGGGGCCTCTCATTCGGTTGGGCCAATGAGATTGACAAATCTGTCAATTTTGTTTCTTTGAGTTTCTCATTTTTCCAATCTTCAGTCTGTTTATGCACCAGTTGCATTTACCGTATTTTTTGCTCTATAAGACTCACTTTTTCCCTCCTAAAAAGTAAGGGGAAATGTGTGCGTGTCTTACGGAGCAAATGCAGGCTGTGCAGCTATTGCAGAAGCCAGAACAGCAAGAGGGATTGCTGCTTTCACCTCTTGCTGTTCTGGCTTCTGAGATTCAGAATATTTTTTTTCTTGTTTTCCACCTCCAAAAACTAGGTGCATCTTGTGGTCTGGTGCATCTTATAGAGCGAAAAATACGGTATTTATTTGGTAAAGCAGTCCTCACAAATGATTGTTACTATGTTAAAACACATTTCTCCTAATATACAAAATTTTTATATGCTGTTTTACCCACTATACATGTTTCTTGCAAGCAAAATGCTTGGAAAATGTAATGCACAGATGTCCTTCAAAATCCACACTATTGTGTTATGCAGTTCACCAACCAGACATTTACCCCCCCCCCAAAAAAAATAATAATCATATATTAGGAGAAAGTGTGCATAAATTGCTTTAAACTATTTTTAATGTTGTGTTTCAATGTTGTAACCAGTCCTTGGACCTTAGGGTAAATAAAGGGTGAAAATAGAATAGAATAGAATAGAATAGAATAGAATAGAATAGAATAGAATAGAATAGAATAGAATAGTAGGACAAAAATTGTGCTGTATTAAGAGAAACATGCAAAACTGCATATCAAAATGTGTGCCTTAGGAGAAAATTGCACTAAAATGTTGTGAATTTTCAAGAGGGCTTTTTCCTGCAGCAAATTGCTGCATCAAGGTGAAGAACTGAATTTAAGGTTGGCAAACTGTGAAACTGAGAGAACAAACATTGACAGATCTTTCCATCCCTGTTCCCTATACAGCTGATAACCCTGCTTACAGTTTGAAATGGTGCAGCACACAGCAAATTAAGACTGTGGATCATGTAGCTTAGTCTTTATTTCATCTTTGTAACCTACCTTGCCACCTAGGGCAGCATACCAGTTTGTTAACAAAGTTTGCCTACAGGAAGAAAAATAGAATAGAGTGGCACATAGTTGGAACTTTTGGTAAAAAATTGAAAGCCAACATTCTATCATAGGATCAGAGTGGTGCTACTCTAGACTACAGATGGGGAACCTGTGGCGCTCGGGAAGTTGCTGGACTACAACTCCCATCAGCCCTGCCCATTGGGCATATTGTCTGGGGCTGGTGGGAGTTGTCGGGGGCTACATAAAATGAGGTTGGGGCTGCAGGTTGCCCACCTGTGCCAAAGGTGAAGGAGTGAACAAGATCATCTGCTTTCCTCAATGTAAGTGAGAGTAATGGAATTCATTAAATGGCAATATTGAGTAGGAGGGGGTGAGTGTGTGGAGCTCAGACAGCAGAAATGCAGGAAGGAAAATCTGAATTACCATTTTGCTAGCTCAGGGAAGAAGACTCCTCAAATTGATTTTCCTGGAAAAGGCTCTCTAGCCTTTTATTTTGTTTTATTTTATTGCCAGCTAAATCTCTGTTTCCACTGTGTCTCTGAAGCTACATCTGTAAAACATAGCGGTGGAAATATTGCTTTATCTCCCAGGGAAGATATCCCTTTTCTGCTTCTTCTTGTAACCCTACCTTTGAATGACTTCCAGGTTCAGATTTCTAGAGGTGTAGTGGATGGCTGGCTAGGCAGACTATACATACACACACACACACACACACACACACACACTGCAGAGAAACCTCTGACTTAAAGAAATGTGGCTGAGATCATTCATTCATTCATTCATTCATTCATTTTTTGCCCACTTTTCAAAATGCTTTTAACCAAAATGAATGCCGGTAGAGTCCAAATGCAAAGCATAGTAAGATGTCTTTACGGAGGAGAGGGCTTCTTCCTTCCTCTTCCCTTGAGAAATTTGATGAGGCTTATGGGCACCATTCTGGCTTCCCTCAGAACCTCATAGCTTCTCTCAGAGCACTTGTATTGCTGTGTTCAGTTCTGGTCGCCACACACACACACAAAAAGGATATTGTAGAGCTGGAAGAGGTTCAGAAAATGGCAAACCAATACTATCAAGGGGTCTGGATCAACTCGCCTATGGGGAAAGATAAACTATGCAATCAACTCCCACAAGATGAAATTATGGCTGCCAACCTGGGTAGCTTTTAAAGTTGTGTAGATAAATTCCTGGCAGATAAGGTTATCAGTGGCTATCATGATGGCTAAAAACTATGCCTGTGCACAGCCATCCAGTTAAGGATCCCATCTGGTGCTTCAGAGCAGCCCTAATCCAACCAGGAATGATCTAGGGCCAACCCAGATCCAGGCTCAGAACCAAATTGTGGGGCTTTCAAGGTCTTTAAGTAGGGTTTAAAACCCTAATTAAACATGCAGTCAGGAAAGAGGAAAGGCATGCAGAAAGGCTTCTGATGGCCCTGGATAGATCCAATCCCACATGGTTTTATCTGGGGCTGCCTCAACCCACTCTGGCTAAATCCTGGGACAGCCCAAATTTGCCTCAGGACCCAAGTGCACAGTCCTACTAAATACTATATCTGGTATCAGAGGTGGGAAGCCTCTGAACAGGGCCGTCTTACCCATAGGTGCTAGGGGTGTGGGGCACCCAGGCGCTGGGTTCTCAGGGGTGCCAGGCCGAGAGTCTGGGGCCTGAGAGTTGAGTCCGGGGAAGAGCCCTCCTGTCGGTCAGAGCGCCGCGGCGGGCTCTTCTGCGTCACAAGTTTGAGGGTGACCGAGCCAGCGTGATGCTGAGGCAGCCGGCCGGCTCTGCCCTCCTGTGCACCTGGGACTGGGCAACCTGGGAGCGGGGTACCAGGCAGATCTTGCACCCCGGCACCACATATGCTTAAGACAGCCCTGCCTCTGAATACCAGTTGCTGAGAAACACAAGTGGGGAGAACATTGTTGCACTCAAGACCTGCTTGCAGGCTTCCCAGGGGCACATGGTCTCCTCATCTGGCTAGACTAGATGGGCCTTCACTCTTATTTGGAAAGGCTTCTCTGGATTTGCATCTAAGGCAAACCCTAGGTTCACTTCAGATTTCCCACCACATGAAAGATAGGTGGCAGCTCTGCTTATATCATGATAAAACCTCCTAGAAGTCATCGATATTCCTTTTGAGGCCTAGGTTGGTGAGAAAGGACGGTCCCAGATGAAGCTGAGAGCACAGTTGCCCCCACCATTAGGCAGAGGGAAGCAGACACCCCAGGTAGTAGATGCAGAGGGGTGGGGAGTCGACAGAGCTGTGTGAGCCACACTGCCATAGGCTTTGTAACACAGTCAGCGGCGGAGCAAGCCAATCGGGCACCTGAGGCAGCACGCGTGCCCTGCGCCCAGGGGCGGGGCGAGCCGGGGCAGGACGCTCCATGGGGCCTCCAAGGAGTCTACCTGCCTCCTCCCACTCAGCTGCCCTACAGCTGGGGGGGGAGGCAGCAGGCAGGCCGTTTGGGGCAGAGTGGAGCCTGCAGGCACCCAAGCCACCAGGTCACTCCCAGGAGAGACGTGTGGCTCAGACGCACTGCAGGCCCCGCGGTGAGTGCCGCCCGGCATTTTGTCGCGCCCCCCAGTGATGACACCCAGCCTGCCCCCACCACACACACCCCTTCCTCTGCCCCTGAACACAGTCAGGATTGGGTTTGGATTTGAGGACTTTGGAGGCAGAGTACTGGGAAGAAATGGGAGAGGGGTCCTGAATGGTGAGAAACAAGTTTGGTAGAGGGGTATCTCCCTGTTGTGCCTCAACTTCAGCCACTTTGGAAGAGGGATAAGGGATGTCGGTTCCTCCCTCAACTTCTGGTAGGGCAGAGAGAGCCTGTGGAAGCTGGAGGGAGCTGAGGATGGAGGCAGCTTAGGAGGCAGAGCAACTGATCTGTAGCATGAAAAGGCAAATGCAGCACTGACCCCTAGAACCAGCTGCCACTCCAAGTGAAGACCCACCCTCCCTGAATTACAATTCCAACATTCCTGCAAAGCAAGAGAGTCTCCTGAGTTAGTTCACCATGCCTCGCCTTTAAAAGCTTGGTAGGAGGGGAGTGCCATTGGTTGGGTCAGCTTCATTGATTCTGTCCAGTTCTGAACTTTTTGCCCGGATCCTGAACTCCTGAACTCTGTGTCTGCTGCCAAGCCTCTACCACAACTTTCCTGAATAAAGATCTTTATTACTTGTACAAAACAGCCTCTGTCTGCTTGTGTTGGGAGGGAGCCAGGACACACACATGGCCTGCCTTGTGCCCCGTCAGCTATGATGAAGGAGTCTGTCCCTTTACTAGTGTTGAAGTGTTGAAACATATATATTTTTTCAGTCTGATGGCTACATTCCCTTCTGGCCAACCCCACCTTGCTAGTGGTAGGTGAGGCCAGAAGGAAAAAGTGGGTGAGCAATGAATGTGAATTTTACCTTGGTACAGTTGGCTAATTTGTACAGATGCTCACATGTCCCTCGCTATCCGCCATCCAGAAAGCAAGAGGCATTGCTAGAGATCAAGGGCACATTCAGGCCATGCTAGGACATTCACAGAGGGCATGAAGCAGGGCAGATAAGGTGGGTGGTCTGGAGAGAGTCCTGTGGGCCATAGAGGTCTTGAAGGTTGCATTCAGGGCCCAAGTCTATGAGTTCCCAATCTCTGCTCTAGACCAAGATAATGCAAGGTCCGGGATGCAACTGAAATGCAAGACAGCTGACTCAGAGGGACAGAACGTGAATCTTTCTTTCTTTCTTTCTTTCTTTCTTTCTTTCTTTCTTTCTTTTTCCACCCGCATAAGAATTTATGGACGAATAAATGATTTCCCAATTGCCCTTCACAATATATATTTTTTTTTAAAAAAAAAAAATACAGCTAGAGAAGTTAATAAGCTACCTCAGCACACGCAGACAGACACCCTTCTTCATAGAGATCCTTCCGCCCACCCCTCCTTGCCACATGGGTGAACACAAAGAAATAATCAGATAGGAGATTTCCACCCACCCCCCTTCTAAATTAGGTCTCTTGTTTGTAAACTGAAAGAGCGCTAATGCCGTTCAAACTCAGCTGCGTTACCATATAACACACACTCAGCCCAGGAGTATTATAAAGTGTGGGAGAATGGAAGTTTTTGTTCTATTCTTTGAGGTCTTTCTAGATGAGAGGGCCATTCATTCAGTCTCTTTGCCTCTCCCTCTCTCTCTCCCTCTCCCTCTCTCCCTCTCTCCCTCTCCCTTTCTCCCTCCCTCTCTCTCTCTCTTTCTTCCCATAATGCCAGCATTAGCTGCTGGCTGCTAGCTGTAAAAGCGCTTTGATGTTGACCTCTTTGTACCACTGACAGACCCGCATTGGTGGGTGAGTGGGAGAGCAATAAGGGCATGTGTGGGAGAGGGGAGGATGAAAGCCTCAGACAGCTTGGAAGGGATAATATGAACAGATCCAGCCTGTTCGCTTAGGTTCTTTAAAGGCAAACTATATATATATACATATATATATATATATATATATATATATATGAATTTTCTGATTACAGAGGTCACAAACCAATGAAACATCTGAAATGACCACTGAAAGCTGGCCACATATGTGAAGAATCAGATAATTGTTCTGGCTCCAACTTTGTAAAATTAAACCAAGCCAGGCAGAGGAAGAAGATGGCAACACAGAAGAGAGATATTTGCTGAGAATTATAGGTGCTCATCAAGGGGTAGGGCAGGAATTGGGAGGGGGAGCGCTCTGTGGCTTTCCAGATAGCATTGGACTGCAATTTGCATCGTCCCTGGCTATTGGCCAAACTGGCAGGAGCTGATGGGAGCTGGAGTTCAACAACACCTGGAAGACCACTGGTTCCCTATCCCTGGCATAAAGTCTTAATCATCAGCTCCCAAGGGATTTCCATGCTACTTGAGCATTGCTATCAACAACCAAATTATCTCAAGAGCTTTGTTGTTGTTGTTTCTAAAAAGCAAGCTTCTAGTTCTCATTGCGACTGAACATTCTTGTGTAATAGGCAAGAGCTGGCAATTGTTTCACTAGAAGCTGCATTACATCTCTCCAACAGATCACGTAATGCAAGAAGGGGCGCTACATATCTTAAAGCTTGCCCCTCCTGCATTTGCCCCTCTTGGCATAAGTTTTTTAGCTAGAGCAGGAGACCAGATTTGGTACCAACATCCCTGCAATAAGAACTGTGTGGAGTACTGTACTTCCAATGTTGGCCAATGCTAGCCAAGCAGCAGCTATCAAGTACAGTACAAGACTAGGTATTTGGGAGTTATAGTGCAAAACACCAGGAGGACACCAGGTTGAGGGAGGCTGCCATAAAGAATGGGGCCAGGCAGGTATTAGGAATGTGTTCACTCCACATTTTATAGTGAACCAATACTAACTCACACTTCCTGGAGCAAAATCAGAACACTGGTCCCATTCTGGTTTTTTGCTTATCTGTATAATGCAAAAAAAAAAATATCAGCTCAAAAAAAGGTAAAAAGTACCGAGATGTGTATTAAAATGCACATTTTAGATTAAACTATGTACAAAAAATGCTTAATGAGGATAAAATGCATTCATACATAATACAAATTTTTGGGCATTTTTTTAAAAAAAATGCTGATTAATGCAAAAAATGGGACCGGATTGTGAATATCATATCTTTATATTCTGTAGTAAACCTCGTCAGGCATTTGTTAATTGTATCCCTGGCTGGACTGTGGGCATCACTTCTTCCCCTACTGCACCCACACCAATTTTCTCACAATGAGATGGAAGGTTTGAAGTGGAACTGCTAGTGCATTCTGCTAAATGCAACTGCTGTCCTCCCTACAAACAGTTCCCCTCCCTGATAAGCTGATATATCAGTAAAAGCTCATAGACTCCTAAAGAATTAAACAAATGTCTTCACATTCCATTTACGACCAGGTGAAACAGCTGCTATTGAAGGACAGTTCAGGTTCCAGTGAGGTTGTTCTTGGTTCCAGTGGAGTTGTTCTCAGGACTGTGGCAGCAAGATCTCCCTCCCTTAGCCTGGATGGAAAACAAAGTCACTTAACTCCTCCCCTCTGGGCACTGAGTTGTCATGTGACCACCAAATGTATTGGGTTCAGAGGTCATTTGGGGTTTGTTCGGTCCTACTTGTCTAGCTTAGAGCAGCCTTTCTGCTTTGTTTTTGAAAATTGCCCCTAAGAGGAGCGAGGAAAGAAAATTAAAGGAGAAAATATCCACACACCTTTATGAACTACGCCAGATATTTGCAAAGGACCAATTTTGAGCCTTATTATCTCGCTACAATGCCCACAACAGGGGAGGGTTTGCTGTCCAAACTGTTATGCAGACAAAGAACGATGGATTTTTAAATTATCTACCTTTGCCTTTGCAACAGGAATGTTTCAGGGCAATTATCCTGAGATAATGCCTTCAAATTGCAGCAGACTTTGGGTCTATAATTGCTGATGTTCATTTTAAGGTTCCCAGCAGACTAGCACAGGAGATCCATTGCCAGTCAAGCTATGGTGGATAATATACGGTAACTGGGGTTTTCTTAAGAGACAGACACCCAAATCAGCTCTCTCGCTCCTTTGTTTCAGAATAACGCTCACGCACTAAATAACAGTTTGCTGGGCTGGCTTGCATTTCAAGAACAAAACTTGGAGCTGATGGTTGAGCCAGGAAAGGAAGAACAACAGACAAACCCTCTTGGTAACCTCACCCTGCTGATTGGGCCAATTTCACAGAATGCTTTAAAGTAGAAAGGAATTGCCATTATGAACTCTCTTTTAGAAAAAGATCCCCTGTACAGACCACATGAAATGGAGGACTGCAGAGGCGGATTTAGAGGAGCACAACTGGATCGCCCACACTGGGCGCCGAGCCAAGAGGGTGCTGCAGGGCGCACCGCAACAATGACGAACAGTGGAAGACGAGAAGTGGGTTAGGGGACACTCAATTCTGGCAGCGCCCAGCCCGCCGCTGAAATGTTAAAGCCCAAAGTTTGCCACTGAGGCCTGTAAATTAATCCTTGAATATCGACGCATTCAGCAACGAACAGCAGGGAAACAAGGTTGGTTTGAAACAACTTCAGGCATTTAAGAACCTGCCTGTTGCCTTACAGGTAGCTATGTTGGAAGGTGGTTGAGATAAGTGGAACGTCTCCAATTGGCACATGGAGTATTGTCCTAAGCTGTTTGCTGCTGGGGATTAGGAAAGAGTTCTTGCCTACTCAGCCATGAAGCTGGCCTACGAGCCTGTGATTCAGCTGTGATAAATTGCAGGGTTTGGGAGGGGGAGATGAGCAAGGGGAGGAGAAATACTCCTGTTTCAGATTTGCTTGCGAAACATCAGAGTAATCGTGGCTGAGACAACATGCCAAACAATGGATGCAGGAACACAACAGCACATAGGGCTTTTTTAAAAAAAGTGTGCATGGACCAGTCCTCTCCAACTGTGTGCCCTCCAGATGTTTTGGACTACAACTCTCATCAACCCCAGCTAGCCTGGCCAATGGCAAGGGATGATGGGAGTTGTAGTCGACAAGGCCTTAAAAGGCTTTGCACATGTGGGCTCAAGGCCATTTTGCCCTGGTGATCTTCCTACCCCCACACACTTGGTGTTAGAGCCTCATTGGGCTATTTTGGATCGCTGGCTGATAAGGCTGGAATGGAATTAACTGGCTGCTTGGATTGTTGTTGTTGTTTTGCCTTTCTCTCTCTGACTCAAGGCTTACTTTGGTTAAGTGGTGGCTGAACTTCATAAGCATAAGGGGCCTGAGGAGGAGGCAGATGAGCATGGCAAACCCTAAGCTTGTGTTAGGGCCCCTGCCATGGCTGGAATCTCTTATTCCAGTCGTCCAGTGAGCCCTTGATACCTAGCTTGCACCACTCTAAGGCTCAACACTGGGCAATTCCCATAGAAGGGGTTTGGGGGATTCCCAACTCTGATGGAGGGCCATTCCATCAGCAAGTGCTAGTGGAATGTGGAACTGGATCCTTTCCTTGTTGCCATGCCAAACCCCCTTCTGCTGTAGTTCCCTGGGAAGAGGGATTGTTTGTTAAACCACTCTGCAAATTACAGCTCTGTGACTGGAATAATAATCTCAGAGCGACTCTCAGCAAACTACAGCTCCCAGAATCACTTGCAGGAAGCCATGACAGTTTCAAGTGGTATCATAGTGCT